AAGTAGATCGGAATAGAATTGAGCCAAACTGCTAAGAACATTGGCGATTTTAGAGGATCCTTACTTAAAATACCACATGATTTGTCATGCCGACCACAAAAGGAAAGGGTTCCAAAGCACAGCAGCCGTTGCTTATGGCGTTTCTCCTCTTCTCCAGTGTGTTCATCTGTTCTTATTCAAGTGAGACATGCTTGCCCATATTGACTCACTAATTGCTACTGCCTTCAGAATCTATTGTGGTTTTATTTAATTGTGTGACGCTCGCATCATAAACCCAAGTATACCTGCTCCGTACTATAACTGACAGGCATGACCTGAAAAATGAGCTAATTTTATGCGAGTAGCGCTTTAATGGGTGGGTGGGGGGAGAGGAATGGGGGGGGTATGTGTGTGTGTTGCAGGAAGGTACAATGAACACATGACATCTTATTTGGAAAGAACTGTTTTATGCAGATGGTTCCAGGAAAGCGTATGTGTGTGTTCCCTCCCAACACTGCTTAATTATCTAAGATTTAATACGGTTAATAGTGTGGGAATATGAAGTATGAGGATTTAATCTTGTAGTCAGACACATGCAGATGTCTCCCAGATGGAAAACAAGCATCTTTTCTCATCTATGTTGTGCTTAAAGCTGTTAAATGTCTGTTGGTATCGCTCATCTCCTTTTCTACCAATTTGAAATATATGAAGCTGGCAGTGGGGGAGGAGGGGTCTGAAAGTGCCTTGTGACACCATGAACAGGGGCAATTCAGGAAGCTGGATTTGTGCTATGCAGATATAGTTTCATCTTCTAACTTGGGTGGGTGTGTTAAACTACATATATTGAAACTTAGAACAGCCCAATTTGTAGTTGCATTTTCCATTGGGGAAATAGTGAAGAGTTGAACTGTAGCCTAATCTGCGTCCTCCCCTCCCCCAAGTGCTTCTTGCAGATAAAGTCTCTGCTGGAGATCTGATCATAGAACCACCACATCACATGCCATTCAGGCCACCATTTTAATATTTTAGGGGTGACAAAGGATGCTTGGGTTTACTGAGAGATTAGGAAGTAACGCAGCGCTAAATGAGCATGCTCAGGATTCTGTTTCATGGGATTTAACTGTTTCTTGCAATCTGTTAAAGATCTTCCTATTTCAGAATGGGGTTGTTTTGCACAAAGACCCAAAGTGTTGTTGCTCCTCAGTCCTATTGTGACTTTAGGGCCATTCTTATTGTGGGATTGTACTGGCCTGTTAGTTGTATTGCACTGACTGATTGGGGTCTTGTAAACTTTGAGCGCTGGAGCACCGGAAAAGTAACTATTAAGTGCAAGAATATTTAATATTCATCTGGTTATACACACAGTCAGGATGAGAGACGATGGATTCCCCCTCCCCCTTTGCACACACTTGATGTATTCAAGGGGTGAAGTCAGAGATTCTAATCTAGGCTAGAAGGTCTGTATATGTGATCAAGATAAATGTGTTAGTTAGAATTATGACCATATATGAAGCTTGTCTTTTATGCTCATGCTGCTGAGGGGGAAATACCGGTGTGTCTGCAAGAATCATATTTCCCACAATGTGTACAGCTGCACTTTGTTGCAGTTTCATTAAGGCTTCCTTTTTTCTTTGCTCTGATGAATAGTAAATGAGCCTCTGTGTGCGTGTGCGTGCACACACACAAACGTGCACATGCTCATCTTAGTGGAAAGAACACAGTGTTTGCTTCAAATTGGCCTTTTAGTCTCTTTTGAGCTGCTTGTTTTACACAGCAGAATTTCTTTCTGAAACCACCATATGCGGAAAATGGCTGCAGGGATTATATTCTTTCTGCTTTTAATCCCAAGCACCAGATATCAATATGCACAGTTCCTGTTTAAAGACCATGTAATGACAGAAGCTTGTCTTGGGATTCCAGTAGAGGCTAAAAGTCACTGGTGACTTAGTGTGCATGGCGATACCGGCATTTTGTGGCCAAATTCTTCCAAAACTGATCCTTTCCTCGTATCTCTGCAATGCTGTTAATGTAAATACAAATTCCCAGAAGATGGAACTGGCAATAGAATGGACTGAATTAATACCATAATTGTCCTCTGCTGATAAAGGATATGTATGTCCATGGTTGTAAAGGGGAAAGTGATGGTTATGTATCCTTGTATTTTATATTTCCTTTCGTGGTTTGTTTTTTTAATAATAAAGATTTCATTTTTAAAAAAGATCAGGTCTGTTCCTGAAAAAATGCTAATAAACTACATAGAGACAATGGTGCACAGGATAAAGAAAAAAATGAAGTGGTCAACCGGAAAAAAATACCCAGGAGTCTCATTTCAGGTGCTAAACCTAGTATGAGTTGAAGGTAGGGTTCGAAGTAAGGGGCTGGACATAGCAGACCCAGCTAAAGTTCAGTCACTTACTGATTCAAGTCTGCAGACGATATTAAACTGTGGGAGCTGTAGAGGTGAACACATGAAGCTGCCTTTTGCTGAATCAGACCATTGGTCTGTCAAGGCTAGTATCGTCTGACTAGCAGGGGCTCTCTGGGGTCTCAGGTGGCGGTCCACCACATCACCTGAACCTTTTAACTGGAGATAGTGGGGACTGAACCTGGTATCTCCTGCATACTGAGCTGTGTCATTGGCTCTGCAGCTGTGTTGGCCAGGGGATCCAGCCTGTGCATCATCACCCATCTCTAACAAAAGGGGAAGCTGCAGGGGAAGACCCACTAGGACCTTCCGATCATTATACAGGCTTCCAAGTTAGACTTTCTTTCTGGTCTGAGCAATTGCTGTGCTCTTGCTGCTCCTTGGGCTACCTAGAGATAGCCTGGGCCTTCCTGTCTCCCCGTACCTCCTTCCAAGTTTGACATGTGCTGGGTCCGACTCAGTAGGGTGGGGTCCTGAACAAATTTAGCTGTGCTAAATACTCTGCAGTGACACATTGAAATAATAATAATAATAATAATAATAATAATAATAATAATAATAATAATAATAATAATAATAATAATAATAGATTGGATTCATCCAGCAGGTGCAAGTGGAGGAGTGGGGAATCAAACCCAGTTCTCCCAGATTAGAGTCTGTGCACTTAACCACTACACCAAACTGGCTCAATGCTGGAGTCCACTAGCACCTTAAAGACCAGCAAGATTTCCAGGGTACAAGCTTCTGAGAGTCAAAGCTCCCTTCATCAAATCTGATAAAAGTTGCTTTGACTCTTGAAAGTTCATACTCTGGACATCTCGTTGGTCTTTAAGGTCCTATTGAACTCCAGTATTGATCTTCTACTGCACACCAACATGGCTGTGCACCTGGTACTGAAATAAGGGAGGGTGTATGTATCTCCAAGCCTCTTGGGTTGGCTTTCAAGGCAAGCTAAAAGTATACAAAGGCCATGGGTATGGTAGAGCAGAGAGCTGATTCTAGCCTCAGATTTTGGTACAAGGGCTATCAGCACCACTGCTTTGGACCAGTTCCTCAGCTGCTTATCTGAGCTGCATAAAGGGCTCTTTTTTAAGATGGTAAGGCAGTAAGGTAGGCTCTTCATCAGCCCTGGGACAGGCAACCGCGCAGCACAAAGCACAGCAGGATGTGATAAGGTTGCTGCTGCTGCTGCTGCTGCTGGGTCAAGTAACTGAGAACTGTTGTGGTGTAAAGGATGGTGTTTTGGATCTAGACAGAGAGAGGTGAGGTCAAATTCCATCCCTGTCACAAAACCTACTAGATGACCTTGAGCCAAATCTTGCTGTCAGCCCAACCTAGGGTCCCCAACTTTTTGAAGCTGTGGGCACCTTTGGAATTCTGTTATGGCGTGGTTGCCATGAAACACCTGCCGTAGGAAGCGGAACCAGCCACAAAATGGCTGCCACAGTGAAGATACTTGTGCTGTGGTGGCAGCTGCCGCCAAAGAGCCAGTTTGGTGTAGTGGTTAAGTGCGCGGACTCTAATCTGGGAGAACCGGGTTTGATTCCCCACTCCTCCACTTGCACCTGACTGGATGACCTTGGGCAAGCCATAACTCTGGCACAGCTGTTCTTGAAAAAGAGCAGTTTCTGTCAAGAGTTCTCTCAGCCCCACCTACCTCACAGGGTGTCTGTTGTGGGGAGGGGAAGGGAAAGGAGTTTATAAGCCGCTCTGAGACACCTTTGGGTAGTGAAGGGCGGGGTATAAATCCAATCTCTTCTCTTCTCTTCTTCTTCAAAGTGAAGTTTTTAAAAAATCCACAAGGGCAATCAGATCTCCAGTGACCAATGAGAACCCTTGCTGGTCAAAAACCCTACCTGACCCTGCCCGCTTTCTAAAAATATTTGGCGAGCACTGAGGATAGGTGTCTGTGGGCATTGTGTTGGGGACCCCAGCCTAACCTAATTCAAAGGGTGGTTATTGAGTGTGTTTCCCGGAAGGAACAGTCCACAGGTGCCCCCTTTGTTCAATTTGTTGTGCCATTTTGTGAAGCAGGCCCGGCCTGAGGGTAGACAAATGGTGGTGCGCCTCTGTCAGTATTAAAGTTCCTTTGATGCCTTGCTGGGAGATTGCTGGCATGGGGACAGCCCCACAGACAGCTGTTTGAGCTTCCCAGTCGGTGTGGCTGCTGAGCTTCACCAGAGGCTCCCGGACAAAGATTCTCTGTGGGCCCCAGTAACACCACCCAGACCCTTGATCAAAGCAGAGGAGCGAAAACAGCAATGAAAAGCAATATCAAGTTCAAGGAGAGCAGGAGGCAAAGAGGCAAGGTCACAAAACTGCAGAAGATTTTTTAAAAATGCCAAGGCAAAAAGGGTGTTGGCTTGTCACATAGGGCTTAGTAAACTCAGTGCCAGGTACCCCACTGCGGGGAGTTTTCCACATACAGAGCTGCAATTGGAAGGGTGTATTGGTGGAAGCGGCTAAGGCTGTTGTTTGATGTGTTTTAATGTATTTGCTTGTTTCTTTTGTCTTTGAAATTCATTGTGTGTTAACCAACTATTTTCTCTCTTCTTTTTCTTGCATGTTTGGGCTGTTTCCCCTCCTGGAACTGCAGGAGTCAACCAAAGGTAAAGAAATTTCACTCATGCTTTGTAGTCTGTGTGTGTTTGTGAAAAACTGTGATTGATTGGACTTTGGACACTGCACAAATATTTGTCACTCTTCCTTTTTAAATTCAATTTAAAAGCTCCTTTCTACTTAAAAAACCCCAGCATTGGCCGCCAAAACATGAGTCACAGGAACAAATGAGAAACCAGCTTTGAAGGCTGTGGATGAGAGGTTCTGTTCTGTATGTATGTGTAAAGCTTTCTCTCATATTTGCCCTATCCTGGATTGCATTGCTGTTTACCAACCTAGCCTTTTTTTCATTTCACAGTGGATATATGGAAGCCTATATATCTGCAGATATGTTGTTCGTTCATTCCTTTCTCCATAGGTCTTCATTTCTCCTTTAAGGGCAGCTTTGTATGTGGCTTTTGAACAACAACAAAACTCAGGCCTGAAATCAAACACAGCCTTGTGTGGTTAGGAAGACCAGTGTACTGTTACAGAACACACAAATATCTCCTTAAATATGGGGCAAGGGTATGAGAGGGTTCTATGCTGAATACATCTCTCAGCCCCCACAGTCAGCGTGCGTGCAGTCATACTTGGTCCCTTTCTCAGGGGACTTCCAAACAGAATTTGGAAGTAATTTAACCCCATTATCCAAATGTGCAGGTTACTGGACTGAGATTATTGGTTCTTGCCTGACCCAGAATACAGGAAACCATGGAGTGGGGTAGCCATTGAAACTGGCAGGCCCAGTCCAAATCTGGCCCTGGGTTTTTATGGGATAGATGGTGTGAGTCTTTTTAACCCTTAGTCGATTCAAAATTCATCCCCTGTAATGTTCTACAATGTCCCACAGGGGAACTGTGAACTGGCAGTTACCTATATAGGAGTATGTTTTTGTTGGTTCATTTATTTGTATCTGTGTTCAATGTTGTTGCTGTTGCAAGTTGCCTTGGATATTTTTATGAAGTGCTGTTCAGTATGCCAAATTTAGAGCCTTTATGTTGGCTTGGCTAAACGTCTTTCCCTCAAACATGTTCTGGGGTCGATTTAACAACATCCCTCCCCAGGAAAGACTCTGCAAATGTTCCAGCATGGCCCCAGACACAATCTTCCATATTATTCTGGACTGCCAGCTGCATACATCTTCACGTATGAAACTGTTACCCCTTTGGCCACACTTATTTACTAATAATCTTAAAACTGTGCAATATCTTCTTAACAATGTTAATACTGATACTACAATTATGGTTGCAGAATTCTTAGCCGAATCAGCCACACTTAGATACTGTCTTTTTACATAATACACATATTTTATTGTCTAAATTTACTTACTGGAATTCAATGTATCTTTTTAAATGTATTTATTATATACTACTACTATGCCATTAAAGGTGTCTGAATCTGAATCTCAGTACGCCAAATTATGTTGTCCTCCTGCTAATCAGAGCTTCTTATCTTCATTGTGGCTTCTTCTACTGGGTTTTTAAAAATAAGATGTGTCTTTGGTTATCTCTATGCAGGTGTTTGCCTACGATCACTGCTTCTGGTCGATAGATGAAACGGTCAAAGAAAAATATGCAGGTAGAATTATGGTGTCACTAAGAGTAACTCTGGGGTGAAATAGTATTGGTGATGCTGTAGGATGCTGTAGATGAGGTGATGTTGTCTTAGCTGTGTTCAGTCTTTTGAACTTAGGCGTGCTTCTCCACTTACAGATACATTACTCTGAGATTTTGACCCTACAAAAGAAACCTAAAGCCTTATGAATGATAGGCAAATGCAGTGAAGGATCCAGAGAATCTGGGGTGCCTCCTTAGGGTCAGTTCCATAATGGTGTATGAATATCATTCTTTGTGTCAGCAGGGCTTAGTAGGTCCAACCTAGGGCTGCCAGGTCCCCTGGGAGGGCGGAGGCTCCCCCGCTCAAAGGGCACCCAATCCGCCGGTCTGGATCAGGCTGGCGGGGGGAACCCTGCCCCCAAAGTGCACGGTTCGGGCCGACGTGCCCGGCGCAATGACATCACCTGGAGGTAACATCATCGCGCCGGGCATGTCACTGGCTGACGCTCTAGCAATCAGCCTGAAAACTCTCCCCCGCTTTTAAGGGTAAGTGACTTGGCAACCTTAGTCCAACCTAAGCACGATGCAGAGATCTATGTTACTTCCCAGTGTATTTTTAAAACAAAATCTAAAGGCACTTAGAAAGATTTCTAAACAAGCAGAACAGCAGAGGTTGCAAGAACCTGCTTAACCCTTTCCCCACAGGTCAAAATCATGCTCCCTAAAACACTTCGTTTCCACAAGGGAGAAAATATGGGATCTTGTTATCCCCTACAGGTAGAAATGAATCTGGAGGATGGGGCATGATATTGGCAAGAAGAACAGCAGGATAGAGAAGATTACATATATATCTCCTCCCAACCTTCAGTTTCATTCTGTGCTTCCCCCTGCAACCACCCCACCCCCATGTCTGCAGTCACATGACTGGGAACTTTGACTGCAGGGTGTGCTGATGGGCAGAGGTTCCTGCTTCTCACTGCTGTTCAAGCAAACCTTGTATCTGCCACTATCTGTATATTCATGTGTGTTTTGTTTTCAAAACGTTCGTAGTGCCAAGTAAAAGAAAACCAGATGCTTCCTATGAAGAAGAGGAAGTGGTCTTTAAGCATCTTGCTGGCTTTGTATAGGAAGGCTCTCATTACAGTTATCTGTAATCCAAGGTGGATTTGGGCCAGGGAAGGCTGCAGCTCAGTGGTGGAACATCTGCTTTGCTTGCAGAAGATCCTAAATTCCAGCCCCATCATCTATAGTGTTTTATTTAAAACAAACAAACAAAAGGTAGCAGGTGAAAGACTTTTATTTCAGACCCTGGAAAGCCACTGCCAATCAGGGTGGACAACACAGACTTTAACAGACCAGTGGGTCTGACTCAGTGTAGAGAAGCTTCATATGACCTGGGTTCAAATTCTTTCACATCCATGCAGGTCATTGAGTGACCTTTGATCTGTCAACTCTGCTCAGTTTGATCTGCCTTAACGTACAGGGTTATAGTGGGGTACTAATCAAATAATCCCCATGGGTTCCTTGGAGGAACGGTGGTATACAAACACGCTAAATTAACATTACTTTAGATGTGCAAAGTATCATGCACGTCTTAGCCTTCCTCTAGGCTAGAGCTTTGTTCTACAATCCTAAATTTACTCACAGCCTTGTTGTGATCCTTAATGTGTCGGTGTAGATGTGGAGTAATTCAAAAGGGGGCTATTAGAGTCTTTGGTGAAGTCAAGATGAGTATCTGCTCTGCGGTTTCCGTCCTTAAAGGCTTCATTTGTTTTGGATTCACATGAAAGACATTAATGTTTTCAGATGGTGCTGCATGGTGTAGTGTTTGAAGTTGTTGAAGGGGCTTATCAAAGGAATTTTATGCCTTCACCCTACCCCCCACCCCAATAATTTGAATCTTCTTGTTCTAATTTTAGGCCAAGATGTTGTTTTCAAGTGCCTTGGAGAGAACATTCTCCAGAATGCCTTTGAAGGCTACAATGCATGTATCTTTGCCTATGGGCAGACTGGTAAGCCATTGTAGGGTGGAAGCTAGAAAGTAAAAATTGCCAGTTATGCACATGACATGTTTGTTAGACCTTGCCTCTTCTTAAAACAGTGGATAAAAGAAATGTGGGTGTGAATTTGACATAAAGATAGGCAGCTGAGGAGGAGCTGATTTTGATCTATAAAGCCCTTAAGTAGCTTTGGGACCATAACATTTACATGCCAAAGAATGGATAAAATTGGTGCCTTAACAATTCCATCCATGTGCCATATTCTGCCTGGCCGCCTTGTTCAGCCATCTTGCCATTTAAAGTCTCAATGGGGACTCTGTCCATTGCTTTGCTAAGCACAACAGTGCACTCAGCTTTTAAGGTATATTCACAGAGTGGAGCTGCAGTGGCTCAAGTGGTTAAGACGCTGAACTGCAGGCTGTGGAAGGTCAGTAGTTCAGCAGTTCGAGACCCGAGTTGCCGCATGATGGAGTGAGCTCCTGTCTCTAGTTCCAGCTCCTGCCAATCTAGCAGTTCGAAAGCAAGAAATTGCAAGTAGATAAATAGGTACCACTTCGGTGGGAAGGTAACAGCATTCCGTGCGCCTTGGTGTTTAGTTATGCCGGCCACATGACCACGGGAACGTCTTCGGACAGCGCTGGCTCTTTGGCTTGGAAATGGAGATGAGCACTGCAACCCTAGAGTCGAACCAGACTGGCTTTATATTCACAGACCCTTAGTGGTCTCTATCCCAGAATTGTACATTAATAATAATAAGCATGGTACTTTATTTTTATCCTGCCTTTCTTCCTTTATGGAACAAGGCAGCTTTCATAGGATTCTCAGGAAGTCTCCCATTGTGGGGCACTGAGGAGACCCAGAACTACTGAGCTTCAGTCAAGGTTGCGGCATCAGATGCCTTCAGAACACACCCAGAGCCAATTCAAGGGTGGCCCTACCTTCATTGTGGGAGGTCAACTTTGGTGATGATTATCCTTGTGATCATGATGTCAGAATTCCTTGTAGTCCAGCAATGGGTACAGAGCAAGAGGTATGACTGATCTTACACAATCGCACCCATTCTGCAGTCACTCCATTGGCTGCCCAACAGTTACTGGGTTCAATTCAAGGTACTGGCTGTTGCATACAAAGCCCTTTACAGCCCTGGAGCATAGTATCTGCAGGACTACTTCTCCTGTTCTCCCCTATGACAGCTTTGCTTCTGCAGGGCTGTGCGGTTTCGTGGCTGTCAGCATTCAGTTGTCACCTCCTGCACCACTCTAGCTGTCTAGTGGAAACTTGCAAAGGCTGAAACTGAACCAGTGCTCTCATTTGGCTCTACTGCAGAACATCTGACGAGAATATAGATTGATATATTGAGGGTTTTCTAAGGTCTGGCCAAGCAATTGGTGTAAAAAGTGGGGCAGAACTGAAATTTGCCATATTTCAGTTATTCAGAACTGTCGTGTTATTCAGTATTCAGAACTGAAATTTGTCATGTTCATACATTTATAGTGGCATGCAACCCAAAAAACTTTCAGTAGCTGAGGTCTGGCTTATATTTTCACTTGGTTGGCTGAATTGTATGGATTTGACAAACCATGGTTTGTGATCAGGAGGGAAACTAGAAACAACAACCATGGCTTGAAGCAGGTTAGCAGCTATGGTTCGTACTACCTATGTTCTGGTGTGGTGCCTGAGCAATAGTGTACAGTCATTCTTCTTCCAAAGGCCACAGCACAAAGAGATTGAAACATTGAACAACTAGACAATGAAGGCAGGTAAGCAGCTCTAAACCATGGTTTGCAGAGTGATGAACATTCCAAATGATGGATATTCGGTTCTAAACTATGGCTAGATGCTCCCTAGCTCACTTTCGTTCAATGTCACCTCAAAATTCATCTGCACCATGAAATCTGTGGTACAATCCCTTAGCCCCCCCCCCAAAAAAACCCTAAGCCTAAATACATCTAAATGAAATGGATGCATATTTTTCCTCCTCTGTTTTTCTTCCCTCCATTATGGCAAATTTTGGAATTGTAAGCTCCTTGGGGCAGGAACCAGTCACCTCGTTTTCTGGGAAGTGCCATCTACATTGATGGAATTCTACAAAAAATAAAAGAGCAAATCATGTTTTGACATAATTCTGGAAAGAGAGATCTCTCTTAATAAGCCTATTCCTAGCATTCCATTGCAAAAGAGACCACCAAGGAAGACCCTACAGAGGAAGGCAATGGCAAACTACCTCCGCTTCTCACTTGCCTTGAAGATCCCTTGCAGGGGTCTCCATAAGGCAGCTGCAACTTTACACACACTTTACATACACAACATTCCATTGCACTTTGGAGGGACCAAGAAAACGGTTCAGGAAAGGGCTGAATGGAAGTGGGCAGTAGTGTCCGCCTGAAGACTATCCCAGCACTTGCTGTATATGTATGTTTCCATTAATTCCTATTGTGAAAGGTCAAGGGCTACCTTTCTCAGAGCCTGAAGGCTGGGGTTAGTTTGAGATAGCAGTGGGTAGTATCATCCTCGGAAGAGCAGTCCTGGCCTGTCCTTTGCTCCACTTGTGGTAATAGCATTACTGGGTGGTAGTGGTGGGACGAGGATATGGTAGAAGAAGAGCTCTCCACCAGGTCAGTGTCCCATTTACCACAAAGGCTATTGCTGTTGTCATATATGGACCAAAAGGGATGTGGTAGTGGGTATAAACTATTGGTTGTTTCCTTCTGTAGGATAGTTATGGTCAGGGCTATTTTTGGACAGGAACGCATAGGAATGGAGTTCCGGCTGGCTTCAGAGTTGGCCATGCCCACTCTTCATGTGTGGCTACAGAGGGAAGGCCTGGAGAGCGGCCCCCCTAGTTACTCCAAGGCGGGCAGGCCAGAGGGGGCCCTGGAAAGATCGGGGAGGCATTTAAAAGTCCAAGGGCCGACTTGCCTGGGCTTCCTGCAGCTGCGGGGCACCTGGGCAAGCCAAGAGAAGGCATGGGGTGTGGCCTAATATGCTAATGCGCTGTGCTATCAGGGGTGTGGCCTAATATGCTAATGAGTTTCTGATATTGTGTATGGCCTATTATGCTAATGAGCTCCTGCTGGGCTTTTTCTACAAAAAAAGCCCTGGTTATGGTGATCACTGCTAAATCTAGTGCTTTTTGAGTGGCTGCTGTTATGTTATGGAATAGCTTTCCTGGATGTTTCTGCTTTGTTAAAATCAGAGGTCATTTGGGGGGGATTGCGGGGGATCGCAGTTCCCCCGGATGAGGTACGGGGGGCGGGGCACATGACGAAGCCCCGCCCCCTGCTTCCGGCCGCCCCGCTTCCGGCCCTCGTTCAGCCAGGAGGAGGCAGGAGAAGAGGGAGGGTAAGTTGCTTCCTCCCTGCCTCTCCCCACCCCTGCCTGCCTGGGGCCAGGGAGGGCCTTCGCGGGGCTTCCTTGCACTCCCGCCGGCCGGGACCATTGGGGGCGGTGTGTGTGGCCTTATGACACACTTCCGGTGATGTCAGGGGGTGTGGCCTTATGACACACTTCCGGTGATGTCAAAGGGTGTGGCCTTATGACACACTTCCGGTGATGTCAGGGAGTGTGGCATATGCTAATGAGTTATGCTAATGAGTTCCCCTAGCTCTTTTTAAAATTCCTCAAGATTTGGAACTCCCTTTCCCTTCCCCCCCACCCCTAAAATCGACAATAGGCCTTCAGAATGATAAAAATTAGTGGGAGGCTCTGAGCTGTGGGATGATACTCAGAGATGCGGCAAAGTATTACCGATATTCTGCTGCCCAAGTGCTTTCCCACACTGCAGATGAACATCTTCTGCATGCACTGTTCCTGTCCTTGGGTTAAGTGCACCTTTAATGGAAGAGTATGAGGCTGCAGATTAGATGGTCCTCGCTCAGTTTGAGATGCCTTGGGTCATTACGACAGTTTACTTGCTCTCTGGAGAAGGGAAATGTACAAATCAGTGCCTTAATGTCTATGACAAGGATGTACCTTTTGTTCTGGTGCTTTCCCCATAAATTCAAAACAATCTGATGCATCTCTCACCTTAATTATTGAGTGCTCCTTTCCTGTGTAATTAGGAAAAATCATTATAAGGCACCCCCTAAAAAGAAAAAAGAAAAAAACTTTGTCCTATGGTTTGTCTCCTCTCCTACCTTCTCCTACATAGCCTTCCTAAGTATCTTCTGTCCCATTTATGCAGGGTCTGGAAAATCATACACGATGATGGGCACGGCGGACCAGCCTGGATTAATCCCTCGGCTCTGCAGCACCCTATTCGAGAGAGCCCAGAAAGAGGAAAATGAAGAACAGAGTTTCAAAGTGGAAGTGTCCTACATGGAAATCTACAATGAGAAAGTCAGGGATCTTCTGGACCCAAAGGGGTAAGGGGGAACCTGTGCCAAGAATGAAGTCTATTGGCAACCTAGTAAAAACTTGGTCACTTTAAGGAAAGGGAATTCTGCCTCTCCTCCTATGAGCCGAATTAATCCACCACTCTCCAAATCAAAACAAGCACTCATTTTAGAGGGAGGAGCCATGGCTCAGTGGTAGAGCATCTGCTTTGTATGCAGAAGGTCCCAGGTTCAATCCCCAGCGTCTAGCAACCGATTGACTGACCTGCCAGGAAGCAGCTGTCAGAGTCCCAAGTCAATCAAGCTCAACAACGTTCCTTGATAAAGGTGCAGTTTATTGAGAAAGGTATTCAGGTCATCATACGACACACTTTGTGTCAGAAATGGGGGGTAGGTGGGAATACGGACTATTATACCCAATTTATACAGGCCCCCCGATAGACGCAGACCAATAAGGAGGAGCAAGCAAGCGCGCTCACAGAAAACGGCCCTCAGCTCTCAGTGGGAAAAAGCTGTGCTGCCGAACATGGCTTCAAGACCACAGGAGAGATAAAGGGAAGAAACCTGGAGTGCATTCCAGGAGGAGGAGGGAGGGCAGCGGAGGGAAGGCGGGGGAGCGGGGAGAACACAGCCCAAACCATGGCGGCATCAGCCAACAGCAGCATTCCTTCATTTTCCCTATATAATATTTTAAAGTGTATAGCTTGAGGCTGTTGCCTGATAGAAATAATTCTGTGTTCTGTTAGCACGGCTCAATAGCACAAAAACATTTTAATTCTGTTGCTTTAGTATTTTTTTTACTTTATTTTTTAATTCTTTGTGGGGGGGTGTTGTATGACTGATTTACTTGTGCTGGGGTGGAGCAGTGTCAAAGTAGAATCCTATTAGGATTTCTTGGCTAATAGGATGATACATAATTTTAAGACTTTTGTTCATTGTATTGATTTAATTTGATTGATGGACAGTGTTGACATGAAGGCAGCCTTCCAGAGGAAGACTTTTTGTTAGAGGTGATTCCTCTACGAGTTTGATACAATCTAAACTTTTTTTTTTTTTGCTCAGAGAGAGATTCCCATTCAGATTAACTAGGTAACTCAAAGTATTTGTACGTGCCCTAACCTAGATGGCCCAGACTAGCCCGATCTCCTCAGATCTTGGAAGCCTAGGCAGGGCTGGCCCTGGTTGGTACTTGGGTGGGAGACCACCAGGGAAGTCCACAGTCATGACGGAGAGGCTGGCCGTGGCAAACCACCTCTGGATGTCTCTTGCCTTGAAAACCCTACAGGGTCTCCAGAAGTCAGCCGCAACTTGACAGGCACATTCTACCACCACCACCATTTGTATGTAAATTATAAGCTTAATGATGCTAGTTGCATTAATGAGAACCTTTGCCAGATATTCTTATTTGTTGTTTAGCTGTACTGCAGATGCTCATGCTTTATTTACCAAATACCAACAGACCAAACATTTTGATTCACCTGGCCTCTGAGATCGATTTGTTATCTCAGCTTGAAAGCTTTTTCTAAGGAACAGGCAGATTTTAAACTCGTTTCATATTAACGCTAATTGGAAATAGTTTGCTAATGCTTGCAAACGCCAATCTTAGGGATCAACTTCAGTCTAAATGGCATCAGACAAATATAAAAAGATCAGATTGTGCTCTGTGCTCTGTTTTCTTACAGCCTGTATTAGGGAAAGATTTGACCCTCAAGGACAACATACAAACGTAGTATTTAAAGAAGAATTATCTAAGGCTGTGTTCTTCCGCACCTCCTCTTAATTTTTTATACTAATCACGTTATGATTTCTTTAAAAGATATTAATACTGTGGTCCACAATATACAGCATTTACTCCTCTGCAGGACTCTTCCCCCCCTTCAAAGGTGTGCTGTCAAAAAAGGGGATCGTCTTACATTTGCATAAGAGTTAGTTTTGTCTCCTATTGGGGTGTGTGTGTGTATAGTATCTTTTTATGGGGATCATCTTACATTCAGAGTTGCCTTCCTTTTGAGTAACTACGGTATTGGGTGACCTAAATTTTTCTTACAGGAATGAACGTTTGCAGATTAATTTCCAAAAAAATGCATTCTTGTTAAAAATCTTCTCTGGTACACTTTGCAATAGAGGAACAATCCAGGGGAACTTACTGAAGAATTTGTGCCTGGGGTTTCTGTTCATCTTGTTAATAGTGGGAGCTAAGATCATGTTTTTGATCAGACAGCTGAGTATGCTGAAGCTGCCTTTGTACAGAGTCATTGCATTCAGGGCTGGCACTGGGGGCGGGTGGGCATCACTAGGCAGACGTATTGATCTGAGGGCCTCAGAAGGTCCCCAACTCACCAAGGCCCAGCAGCCAACCTCTCCTCATCTACTGTACTGTGTAATGGTGGAAGGGCTGGGCCACTGCTCACTTTGCTGCTGAGTCTTCCTGCAAGACAGTGGTGTCTGCTGCTCCTCACCACTTGTTGGATAAGAACATAAGAGACGCCAATGTTGGATCAGGCCAAAGGCCCATCCAGTCCAACACTCTGTGTCACACAGTGGCCAGAAATACCAGGTGCCATCAGGAGGTCCACCAGTGGGGCCAGGACACTAGGAGCCCTCCCACTGTTGACCCCCCCCCCCAAGCACCAAGAAGACAGAGCATCACTTGCCCCGGAGCCCCTATCTATACCTTGTGGCTAATAGCCACTGATGGACCTCTGCTCCATATGCCTATCTAATTCCCTTTTGAAGCCGTCCATGCTTGTAGCCGCCACCACCTCCTGTAGCAGTGAATTCCATGTGTTAATCACTCTTTGGGTGAAGAAGTACTTCCTTTTATCCGTTCTAACCCGACCGACCCTACCTGCTCTATCCCATGCATAATCTAATAAACCTCGATCATGTCACCCCTCAGTCGTCGTCGTCTCCAAGCTAAAGAGCCCTAAGCGCTTTAACCTTTCCTCATAGGGAAAGTGTTCCAACCCTTTTATCATTCGAGTGATGGTGGAACCAAGCCATAACAACTGCTGGCCCCTGATTTCTGTGTCTGCTGAATGAGGAGGGGACAAGCAGGGTGGAGGAATATGGTGATGCACTTGGAAGGAAGGACAAGAAGAATCTTGACCAGTAGACTGTGTTTCTCCCCATCACATTTGATGCATTGCAGTTCACAAGACAATGTGTGGGCATTTTAGTTCATTCCAACCATTCTTATTTTCAAGACCAAATCACAGAGTTCATCTTATGTGATATTGAAACATGGTGCCCTAGATGCTGTGCAGAGTAAGTTCTATAGGGTTGCCTTAAATATTTCCCTCAATATGCTTGCAATACTTCTCAGTGTGTAAGTAGAAGATAATGTTCTTGCATTTTGAGGATCTGGTGGGGCATTCCATTGATTTTGAAACTTAATTGAAAACCTTGCTGATTCCTACAGCGTTCCCCCAAGTAGGAAACACTGTCCTACTCCAGATTTATCAAGAGGTTTGAACTTGAGCTTTTGGCGCGCAGGGATTAATTCAGAAAAAGAAACTTCTGTCAATTTGACAACCTTTTCCATTCTGTTTTTTTCTTCTTATTTTTATCCACTTGGCCTGTTACTAAACATAATTTACCCTCCTTTTTAATCCTGATAACAGTTGCCTTAACAGACTTCAGACTTGGCAAAATCTTAAATTATTCACCCTGTTGTTAGTATTCAAAGGAATTTATGATCTGTATTTTGTTCATCTTTTCCACCACCACTTTTTGTGTTCTGTGTTGTATGCTGGGCAGCCTGAATTACTTTATCTTATTTTAAACTTATTTTTTAAATTATTTTATTAATAATCAATGCATAAAAACACAACAAAAACAATTGTAAACAATCCAACATAGAAATATAACTGGAGGCTATACACCCTTTCAGGTCCCATGAACTTTGATAGGAGAGATGTAAGCATAGGTGCATTGAACCAACTGAAATCAATGAAACTTACCTTGGTCAGGTTCAAGCTCAACATTTGTGTATGTGATTTAAAGAGTAACCTCTTGTTCTCTCTGTGTTTCCCAAACAGGAGCCGTCAGTCTTTAAAAGTCAGAGAACACAATGTCTATGGGCCGTATGTAGATGGGCTTTCAAAACTAGCTGTTGCCAGCTACAAGGTAAAGAAATACCTGGCTGTTTTGAATATCGGTATCATGTGGGTATCTTCTATCACAAGAGTAATTTAACCAGGCCCCTCTCACCCATAACTACCCTCAGTAGGTATAATTACCAGGCTTATGAACCCCTCTCCTCCCCCCCCCCGACTTACACAGAGGCAGGAGCTTCAGTGTCCTTAGTCCCTGAGAATATAAGGAGCTGCCATTATGGGCTCTCTAGACAAAGAGCTGTACCACTTCAGCCTGCAGGTAAGGGTTTGCATGTCGGAATACTCCCTGATTGTAAGCAAAACCCTCTGCAACTGCTAAAAAGATGTCAAGGAGAAGAGTTCTAGCCTAGCCTGCTGAGCATGTGTAGAAGTGGGGTACAGAAGCAAGCAACCCCCTTCCTCCTGAGTCTGTATAGTTCTGAGACAGTTCGACAAGGCGATCATCAGTTGGTCTAGTACGGCTTGTTTGTCAGACCATTATTAGTCTGTCTGGCCTCCTCACGCTGTGTGTTTGCTTGGCTGTCAGTGGATCTTCAGGAGCCCAAGCAGAGGTCTTTTTTGTTGAGCTTCACTGGAGATGTCAGACAGGGGTTGATCTTGGACCTTCTGCATACGGAGCTTATGCTGTTACCACTGAGCTGTGGCAAGGCCCCCGGCCATCAGAAGGCTTTGCATTTCTCTGTTCTGATGTTCTTGTGGATGTGATGCCACCTCTTAACAATTCCCTTGAGGTCATGAGCTGCACTTCAGGATATCTTGAAATATTTATCGGCAGCCCTGTTCTGTATAAACCATGCAAAACTGAGTTCCACTATTATGCCCCCCATCTCCCAGTTCAGTCATTGCCTCTGGCATGTAAAACCAGCATTAAAAAAAAAAAAGCCCCCCCCCCCCCCGTTCCTTTAGGGCTAAGTAATATTACTCATAGATGCAACAAACATGAAATTGAGCAAGCTTCAGAGGACGGCTGAGGACAGGAGGGCCTGGCGTGATCTGGTCCATGGGGTCGTGAAGAGTCAGACTCGACTGTGCAACTGAACAACAACAAATATTACTCTGTAGAAGGAGAAGACTGAAGGAGTCCTCGAATGTTTTCAGACTTCTTCCTAGAAAAAGAAAATCTTGCAAAACCGGCTTAGCAAGTAAACATGCCAAGCCTTCTGCAAAAATGTTAATGATAACATTGATTGCATAAGAACAGGTAGGGGGGGAGGGACACTGGCCTGCTGTATTTCCATCATTGCTGTAGGAAATCGGGTGTATGCATCAATAGGCAGTTAATGGCATTTTGCTGAAATACATCTCTTCCACCTTTAAGAATAGCGATGAGTAAGCAGTTGCTTTCTAGGCAATAGGATAAGAGCTGCCTCGCTTCCAAGGCTTTTGTAAGGAAAAGGAAAATGTGTGTGAAGGACTTTGAACAGCTGACACTTGGTGTAACTGCTGCTGCTTTTAATAATGATAGTAATAAATTGTATAGAGGATTCCAGGTTAATTTCCCTGTTTCTCCCTTTAAGGGATCTTAGGGAACAGGGCTGGGAAAGATCTTTCCCTGAGGCTCTGGACTAGGTGGACTTGTGATCTGATTCAAAGCAAGTTGTTCAATGAATGGTCAGGAAGATGCTTTGGTAAAGGGATAAGGGCTGTGTGGACTGTAGCACTGTGTACAGTCTGTCGCTGTAAGCATGCTTCCACTGTGTAATTTCTGCATCATTTAGCATGTCATGTTTAAATGCGTATGCTTTGTTTCAGCTCTGTGTCAGATTTCTCCTTGTTTTCAGATTTAGTAATAAAGAGCTGGCAGGGGTCTCCGGGGTCATCTAGTCCAACCCCCTGCGCAATGCAGGAAATTCACAACTACCCCCCCACTCCCCCAGTGACCCCTGCTCTATGCCCAGAGGAAGGCAAAACCCTTCAGGATCCCTGGGCTAATTTGGCCTGGAGGAAAGCTCATTCCTGACCCCAAAGTGGCAATCTCCATTACCCCAGGCATATAAGAAAGGAGTCGAGCACTGACTCATCCCTTCCTGCCCTCTCCCTCATGATCTGCCTAAGTTCTGCCTAAACCTCTGCGATCCAAACCCTATTGCATTGTTTGTTGGATGTCCTATCCTGTTGACTGTATTTGTCTTATACTGTGTAATCTGCCTTGAGTCTCAGTGATAAAGGTGGACTATAAATAACGTAAATAAATAAAATTTTAACTAGAATAAAAAAACCACTGTCTATTTGCCCTCATAACGATCTCTTAAATGGCTAGCTGAATCGGTTCAGAGAGAGACGGCTCCTTCCTTTCAAGTCAGCCTTATTCCTGCATCCCCAGACCTCTGTGTGATATTTGGGCTTCCTTATGACACAGCTTGACTTAGAATTTGGTTGGGGGACCCCCGGTACCATTCCTTATACGGACTCAGCAAATGAGTGAAATGCAAAAATCTCAGCTCCTTTTCAGAGGGTTCAAATGGTAGCTTTACAACCTGAAACTTTGACAGCAAGCTGAGTCCATTGATTTGTGGCAAAAGTGTTTTTCTTTGCTGTGAATAAACGTTTTGTTTAGCCAGCCAGCTTGACGGAAATAGGAGGAGGAATCTACAGCTTTCTCTGCCTGCCCAAGCACACTCAAGGGCAAGCGGAGGGATGACGTCAAGGCAAGCTGCTACTTACACGGAGCAGTAGTGGTTTTCTATGCTGCCTTAAAGTGGCATTGTCCAGCAGTGGATGTGCCGTCTTTTGTTGATGGTGCTTCTTCCTAGCACGCTAGTTTCAGGCCGCTAGTTTCAGGCCTCCTCTGTTCCTCTCCTGTCTTGAAAACCCTATGAGGTTGCCATAAGTTGATTGTGACTTGAGGGCACTTTCCACCACCGATCCTTACACGGCAACCTTGTGAGGTAGACAAAATATTATAATTCCCCAAATAGCAGTTAGGGCAGCAGAGACAGAGAGAGAGAGAGAGAGAGAGAGAGAGAGAGAGAGAGAGAGATGCCTAAAGCAAACCAGGGGCTCCATGATTTGTAGCTCAGTTCCTGAGCCATTATCTTCTGTCTGTAATCCTAAAGATGCTTTCCTGGGAGTGAGTCCTGTTGAATAACATGGGACTTAGTTCTGATTAAACCTGTTTACGATTGATCCCTTAATCACTTCCCAGGATTTGCATTTAACCTCTACAAATTTCCTTTCCTTTCCTTTCCTTTTTTCCTCCTGATCATGCATGCACTCTCTCCATGTAATATCAATCAGCCTCCTCATATGGGAAGAAGATAGCTAAAGGCACAATCTAGATGCTTCTTCTGGAGCAGAATTTCCCCATCTCCCCCCCCCCCAGTTTTTACAAATTTGTTCTGTGCCTCTTTAGAGTCCTGCTCAAGGCAACTACAATTAAAAACCACAACCTAAAAACATAAAGCCATTGGACATTGAACAGCAGAAATACAGTCCATAAAACAGAAGCATTTTAATGTGTCTTAACTGTTCTCCAGACATAAAAGGGTCTTCTTGGAGACTTTGAGGGGTTGAGTTCAGTATTTTAAAAGCCTGTGATGTTCTTGTTTACCATCATCCTCTCTCCCTACCCCCACCTTGGTCCCCTTCTTGAGTTTGTTGCACTAGGATGCTTTTAAAGGCTGTGGACCCCATCTGAACAATACACTGCCGAGAGCTCTTTAGGATGAGGCAGAATGTAAATCTAAATGTATTTGATTTCTTCCCTTACAAACAGAGGGGGGGGTTGGGGGGGGGAAGGTGGCACCAGGTATGTAATTCATTTCAATTAGGGCTGAAGCCTGTAATTGACCAGTTGAGAAACCGCTGTTATAGAGATCTCCACTGCTGCTGAAGATCTCAAAAATGCACATAAAGTAGAAAATAAGGTGTTTTGCCTTGGTGTAATGTGTGAAACGGCATCAGGCATTAGGGTATTGTTCCTCAAATTTAATCTAAATCTGATTGATGGGTAATAACTGGTGGTAATTTGCAGGTTATTAAAAAAACCTTTCTTCTTGATTTCACTCTAGGACATAGAGTCCCTGATGTCTGAAGGCAACAAATCTCGGACAGTCGCTGCAACCAACATGAACGAAGAGAGTAGTCGGTCCCACGCAGTTTTCAAGATCATCCTCACACACACTTTGTACGATGTAAAGTCAGGGGTGAGTGAATTCTTGAATTCTGCACCTGGGAACAAGGACTGGCACCTCCAGGGCTTATTGCTTCCTCCAAGATGTGTTTTACACTATGGATTTATTCCTTTTTATTGTGAAACTAGCTCTTATGAGACTAAAAATTACCCTTTGGTGCCAGAACAGATTTAGATTCTCCTAAAAGACCCAGAAGTAATTGAGAGCATACTGGAGCAAAGATTCCATGTGTCTTACTAACAGGCCAGGCTAAACTGTGGTGAGCATTTGCACCCCAGGGTAATTTGGTGTTTGTGTCATCCTCGCCAAATGGTAAGGAAACGTTTACATGTTGTTGAGGAATTGTGGTAGAAATGGCTACAGAAGCTGTTTTCTGTCCTCCCCAGTTTGGGTCCTGCTGAGTGTTGTTGCTCAGCAGGACTCAGAAAGACAAACCGTGCGCACAGAGCATCTCCTTAGGTGCAGCAGCAACATCTGGCCTAGGGATTGCTTCCAAGAAACAATTTGCTTACATGCCAGGGGTAAAGAAAAAGGGACCCTTGCACTCAGTTGATTCTCTGTCAGGAAGCAGCAGCAGCAGCTGTCGAAATGATCAGATGTCACTTCCTTGAGAGCACCGTGACCATTGGGATGCTCAGCATGGAGGACTTCGTATTATCTGAACGAGGCGTAACTGGTCCTTCTTCAAACAGTAGAAGCCTGCTTATGAAACTACCATATGCTGGATGAGAGTGTTGGATTAGGTAGCCCTGTGCTGTCCCTCCTGATCAGGAGCAGTTCTCCAGGGTCTTTGGCAGAGGGTCCTTTCCCAGTCATACTACCTGGAAGCTTTTTAATTGGAGATGTTCTGAGCAGTAAATCTAGTAGCTGTTTTTAGTCTGTTGCTGCAAAATTAAACACCAGCAGTACTGTAAACATCCATGGGGTTATAACAGCTAGATTCGAGTCCAGCAGCACCTTAGAGACTGATATTTTCAGAGTATGAGCTTTGTAGAGTCAGCTTTGATTCTCGAAAGCTTATAGCCCCGAAATCTCGTCGGTCTCTAGCTGTTCTACCACAGACCAACACAGATACCCTCTGAAACTGTCTTCTTAGGAGGTATATTTTTATATATATATTAGCAACAGAATATATATTATTATTATTAGCAACAGAATTAGCAACAGCAATATATTATTAGCAACAGAAAAGTGACAGATGGGAGACGTTACAAATAGAATGCGGCTAGTAACAATAGCCCATCAGAGAGAAGTCAGTCTATTCAGAGTGGGTGAGGATCACTCCCAGCCGCAGATAGATGGGTAGAGCAGGATACGTTGGAGTATACAAGGTCTATAGTGCATCTGTATGAAGAGGATCAGAAAATCATCCTATGGGGGACAGCTGAAGGAATCTACTTAGCATAGGTAGATTAGGGACTTCCCACAGTTTCAAATTATGTCCCTCCTGTCTCCTGATTGGCTCCTTTGGGAGACTTCCTTCTCTAGCGGAGCTTCCTTGCTGTTGTTCCTCCTTCAGCACTTAGGGTAGATGGTTAAGGTTCTCTTTCTTCTATGTTCTATCAAAATTCGTTCTTTAGAGAAACCTACTTATTTTTCTTTTAACAGTTGGTGCTCCACTTCCTTGCGTATTTAAACTCTGCCAACAGGATTCTCATAGAATCAGATCAAATCAAGGAAGGCGCTGTGGGAGAGATAAGCAGAACTAATTAAGAACCATTAAGGGGTGGGTCCATGCTGAGAAGGGGTGGGTCCATGCTGAGCTACTAGTGTCTGTAGTGAGTGAGAAAATCCAAGTCCCTGTTTAAGCCTGGTGCAGAGATAGTATGAAATCTCTTGATGAATCCTTATTCAGTATTTTCACATTGGATTCTCTCCTTGCAGGTCTTTTGTTAAGAGAACATTAACCTTTAGTCCAGATTTTTATTTATTTACTATATTTATAGTCCACATTTCTCATTGATACAAGTTTAGTCAGTGCGTTCAATAGGATGAGACAGCTATAGGATGAGACATTGGTTTGGTGTAGTGGTTAAGTGCGCGGACTCTAATCTGGTAGAGCCAGGTTTGATTCCCCACTCCTCCACTTGCACCTTGGGTCAGTCACAAGCTCTGGCACAGCTGTCCTTGAAAAAGAGCAGTTTGTGTCAGAGTTCTCTCAGCCCCATCCACCTCACAGGGTGTCTGTTGTGGGGAGGGGAAGGGAAAGGAGTTTGTAAGCCGCTCTGAGACTCCAAGTGAAGGGCAGGGTATAAATCCAATCTCCTCCTCCTCCTCCTGTTCTTCTTCTTCCTCTTCCTCTTCTTCCTCTTCTTCCTCTTCTTCCTCTTCCTCTTCTTCCTCTTCCTTTTCTTCCTCTTCCTCTTCCTCCTCTTCCTCTTCTTCCTCTTCCTCTTCCTCCTCTTCCTCCTCTTCCTCCTCTTCCTCTTCTTCCTCTTCCTCTTCTTCCTCTTCCTCTTCTTCCTCTTCCTCTTCTTCCTCTTCCTCTTCCTCTTCTTCTTCTTCTTCTTCTTCTTCTTCTTCTTCTTCTTAGCAGTGTTAATAGAACTAGAATCACTGCAGTCTGGAACAAAGCATAAAGTATTAGGCTATGCTGAACAATGCAGAAAATAGTATTACCTCAGTAGAAAAGAATGCAGTGAGCTCCAGATAATGTATACAGCAGGATAATATGTAAAGCTGTCTTGAAAGGGATCTTTGACTCTGGAAAGCTTTTACCTCAGAAGATCTTGTTGGTCTCTGAGGTGCGACTGGACTCGAATCTAGCAAACGGATGTACATGAAGGGCATCTGACTCTTGAAAGCTCATGCTGGAATAAATGTTGTTAGCCTGTAAGGTGCCACTGACCTGTTTGATTTGTCAAAGGTAAACTGTTCTGTGTTATGTCTCATTCTCCCCTTCCCATTTCATTCCTACCTCCAAAGAGGAAAAGTAGAGTGTCCTGTTTATATTTTCCCAGGAGCAGGTTGATAATTGAATTCTTGGCTGTTCATTATCTTTACACTTTGAACAGCCTTTATTAACCGAATGGCAGTTTGTAAGCTTGAAAAATGAAATAGAAACCTAAACGGCTTTGGCATTCAGCACATGGTGTTTCTATGACTTGTCTGATCATTCCTGCCAAGTAGACCCACGCCTCCTCTTTCAAGCACTCCAGACTAATGTGGACTCTCCCAGCAGAAATTTTCACAGAGCCCAGTGAGAACCCTGCAGGATTCATGATGCAGGAAGCAGTGAACTTCTAGGATAAATGTACACCCATTTATTGTAACAGGAAATTTTGCAAGCAGTGACCTACTTCAGTCGATGCCTGCAAAGGCACGTGGCACAGCCCACTAGTTGGGGGGACACCAAACGTTGTAGGTTTTCAGTGCTGAAAACTTGGTCTCCAAGTGCTTTCCAAGCAAAGCGTTTCTGTTTGGACAGTTTCCGAAAGTGACATTTGTAACTTAAGGTGATTAATGTTTTCCCCCCTTCTTAGCTAGCTTGTGGGTTTAGGCTGCTTTGGTATGTATTTGAGAGATTGGTGTTCTGAAACTTTGATCATTATTTTGTCTCCTTGGTCCACAGAAGGCAATACATTATTAAGAGCAGCAGCCTGAGGCCAGGGTTTGATAGGAGCCCTTGTCATCTTGTACTTAGTATGAATATTAAGCCAAATGGTGGTTAAAACGTTCAAATAAAAATAATACTTTAAACATAGTAGTTGACCAGTGTTTGGACAGTCAGATGTTCAAGCGAAGTTGATGATGATACCATGGAGCAATCACCTGGCTCTTGCAGAGATTTTAATCCCCCAATATGCATCTCCCATGTAGTTTAAAACATACTGTTGGTTTGTGTGATCGCACAGTAATCATTTTCTTTGGGCTAATGGGTAATGTAAAAAAAAGCTGTTTCTACATTTTAATTTTTTTGGCGAGTATTTGTGTATTTGTGTGTGTGCTTGGAAGTCATGGTTGACTTCTGGCGACCTCTAGTGGGGCTCAGACGTTTCAGAGAGGCGGCTTATTATCGCCTGCCTCTGCATCTCAGCCCTGGTATTCCTTGGAGGTCTCCCTTCGAAGTACTTGCCAGGGTCTTGCCAGGATCTGACAAGATCAGGCTTGCCTGGGCTATCCAGGTCAGGGTGTTATTTGTACATGTAGAAGTCAAAAACTTATTTTAGAATTTGGAGTACAGTAGATATATACATTACTACTTCCGTGTCTTTTATTTTGGTGTAAAGGTAGGTAAAACACTGAAAAATGTGGCTGTGTGAACTGACTGTAGCAAAGCCTTGTGCCTGCTCTGTTTGACTTCTATTGAATACCTGAAAAATTCTGACACGTCGGCCTCCCATACACATTTTCTGTATATAATATTCAATGCTTTAATCTTTCTTTCTATCTGAATCTTTATTTCTACTGGAACTCAGGGCCCCCAGTGAAATTAGTGTGCAGTAGATTCAGGACAGACAAAAGACAGTACTTCATAATATATGTAATTAACTTCTAGAACTTCCTGGCATGGGATGTAGTGATGGCTATTAGCTTAGATGGCTTTAAACAGCAATAATTCAAATGGTTGCAGGATAGGGCCATCAGTGGATATTAATCTGATAGTTCAGTGGGGCTTCCATGTTTGGAGGTAGTATGCCTCTGAATGCTAGTTACTTGGGGGAGGCAGTAGCTGAACATTACCTAGTGAGCTTCACGGCAGAGGGGAGATGTGGACACAGGTCTTGTAATCTCTAACCACTAAACCACGTTGATTCTGTAAGACTGCAAAGATCTATCCTTTTTGCCTAAGGGACCGAGTTGTCTCTTTCCTCCATTTATTTTTCTGAGCGCAGCCAGCACTCTCTGCTTCCAAACTAGAAACGGTATAAACTGGTGGTCCCCAGTATAGTGCATTCCAGTGTGTTTCCTGGTACCCACTTGCTGCTTGACTTCTACAGATAAAAGGCAAAGGATCTTGAATGATACAGCACAACAAAACAGAATATTTAGTGGATTATCTCAAGTGCACGTGTAAAATCATTAGCGTTTATCAATTAAAACGCTAAAGAAACAGAATGATCACTCTCTACCGGTTAACCATCCCAGCAGATGTATGACAGCTGTAGTATAAAGGAAGCCTTGCTCCTGTGGCAGCCATTTTGTGGTGCTGCCCACTACCCTTTCTTCCAGAAGTGCCCCAGGCTCAGCTGAGTTGGGCACCCTTGAGGTAAAATGTGTTAAATATGAGTGGATGGGACCTGCCTATGACAGCACCTCTCTTTCCTTCCACAGACATCTGGTGAAAAAGTGGGCAAGCTGAGCCTGGTTGACTTAGCAGGCAGTGAAAGAGCGACAAAGACGGGAGCCGCAGGAGACAGGCTGAAGGAAGGAAGCAACATCAACAAGTAAAGTTTTCTTTATAATGAATGAAATGTTTTCCAGTTATCCCTAATAATGCCTGTGCCCTGGTATCCTTCATGCATTCAGCGTAAGAACCATGGCAAATGAGAACCAGACTAGGCCTAGTGAGGTGGCTATGTGAAGAAGAAGAAGAAGAGATTGGATTTATACCCCGCCCTTCACTACCCAAAGAAGTCTCAGAGCAGCTTACAAACTCCTTTCCCTTCCCCTCCCCACAACAGACACCCTGTGAGGTAGGTGGGGCTGAGAGAGCTCTTGACAGAAAATGCTCTTTTTCAAGAACAGTTGTGCCAGAACTATGGCTTGCCCAAGGTCATCCAGCCAGGTGCAAATGGAGGAGTGGGAAATCAACCCGGTTCTCCCAGATTAGAGTCTATGCACTTAAGCACTACACCAAACTGGCACTACACCAAACTGGCTATATGGCTGTTCACATATAAAGGAGAGGCTGAGGGATTGGGATTTGGCTTTATCTAATGACTTGCATACAGGAAATTCCAGATCCAGTCCTGGCATCTCCAGTGAAAAAGGTTTTTAGGTTTCTTAATCTTTGGAGAACCCATCTCTCTTTCAAGTTGACAGCAGTGGACCAATGGCCGGTAAGAAGGCAGCTTTGAATGCTGTCGTGTGGGTATGAGTTTTAACATAAAATGGGACATGAAAGTGAGAAGAGTTGAACTATTTCATGGTTCCCTTTCAGAAACAGTGACTACTGTTTCATAACTCATACTGTTGGATGGATCAGGATCGTAGGCCATAGTACAAGTTTGTACTGGATCCAGAGAAATTAAATTGGAGTCTGGATCCCAGACCTAGTTTTCCTTTTGTTGGACTCTGACACAAGCTTGGAAAGTGCCAGGAGTGAAGTTTCAATGAAAACTGAACTTGGGTAGGATTAAAGTGCTCAAAACAGTGGAGAAAAGGGAGGTAAAGAGGTGATGGAGAGAGGGTTTAAATCCCCAGTTATCCTTTTTTATTAAAATTAGACCAACACATATCTCACTGGGTATGTGAAACTTGAGGATGTAACTAAACAGACATGGCTGTTGCCATCATGTCTTTAGCACTGAGAAAACAAAGAGGTAGGGCTGAGATTTCTGATCTCAGTTTAGTGAAAATATTGCTGCTTGGTACTTGGATGAGCCAAAATGGTGTAGTGGTTAAGAGTAGCAGAGAGCCCGGTTTCCTTCCCTCCTCCTCCTCCACCTGAAGCCTACTGGGTGACCTTGGACTCTGAGCTCGGTGCCTGTTGGAGGGAGAGAAGGGGAAGGCGGTTGTAAGTTGCTTTGAGACTCCTTGTGGTAGAGAAAGGTGGGGTATAAAAAACAACTTTTCTTTTTCCTTACCGACAATAAGACTTTCCCTCATTTTCAGCAATCCAGTAGTAAGAAATGGGCATGCTCCAAACAAAGAGAACAATTTAAAGTAACATATTTCTCTATCTTCAAAGCAATTTTTCTCCATTTCTTTTTATGTTTTGTACTATCACCTGCAGTATGTTTGTGACTTAACAGTAAGGTGGGTACTGCTTCTAGATGCAAAATGCCAGTTGGGTGGATTTTATCCCAAATGCGGTTAAAATGCTGCCAGCTGTCGGGGTACAGATGCAACTTTGAATATTCTTCCACTTGCAAGTCAATTGTGCTTGCTGATAACAGATGCAACTTTGAATATTCTTCCACTTGCAAGTCAATTGTGCTTGCTGATAATAGTCACAATACAGTTTTAAACTGTGTGTTTTATTTTCCTCCCTCTGCAGGTCGCTCACAACTCTTGGGCTGGTTATTTCTGCCCTTGCAGATCAGGCTGCTGGCAAAAATAAGAACAAATTTGTTCCCTATCGTGACTCAGTGCTCACTTGGCTTCTCAAAGTAAGTCCAGAGCTGTTTGACATCTCACATAACAATAACAACTTAATTTATAGTCTGCCTTTCTCACTGAGACTCCAAAGCAGGTAACAAAATATAGCAACCAATTCAATCAGACAGCAAAGACTTCCAATAAAAAATGCAGCAGGACTAGTTTTACAGAACTGAAAAATAGTGCAAATGAGATACTGCACAAGAAAGCCCAAAACAGCTGAGCAGTGGGGAGCAACATGCTCCCCACCGCTCAGCTGTTTTTCGGGGTTTCTGCAGACCCCATTTAAAGGGACTGTGTGGTCCTTTTCAGTGGAGTTTGCTGGGTCACGAACCAGTTTGATTCACGGTTCGGCTCATGATCCGGCCACGAACCGACGCTGACTGCTTTTTTCCAGGTTGTGCCCTTGCCTAGTTACAAAGGTAGAGAGCATTGCAGTAAAAAATGGAGGTGATCTATGGATTAAACATTTTAGTAATATAATATTGTCCCTTGTAGAACTGATGTCCTGAGCTGTTCCATTATGCTGCAATTTTAATCCCTTTATAAAAATGCCCTTGTGGAGATTTCTTTTCTGCACATTTTACGAAATGATGGGAATTTGTAGGCCTTCCTGACTTGCTCAGATAGGCTTTTTCACAAGGTGGGAGCTATCACAGAGAGTGTACGTGGACAGGCAGTTTTTGATCTGACCTACAGAAGGCTTTGCCTGGACGTTCCTCAGCAGTATGGTTTGTTTGTTTATTTTATTTAGAAGATTTTTATGCCTCCTCTCTAGAACTAAACAAAAGAATAAAACAAAGCAAAAGAATAGAAGACACTGACTGGAGTGATGGTGTGGCTGCTCAAAAGTCGGGTTTCCTAAGAAAGCGATAGCACTGGGTGCCATCACTCCACAGGGGAGCCAGTGGTTTTTGCCTTCCCAAGGACAGCCCTCTTGTCTGGGCCCCCTGTGCATTCCCGGCCTTACTCACAGTTGGTGCAAATACATTTAGTGTCAGTTTTGTGGATAAGCAGGAAAAGCTGCAACCCCCTCTTCTTCTGTAAGCTATTATTTCACACTCTTAGACATTCTCCACCAGTGAACAGGACTTGGCTTTCTCTTTTGCCTTTATAGAATGACTTGCTCATTTATTTATTTATTTATACATTCGATTTATATACCGCTCTGATCCCAAGGGGTCTCTGAGCGGTTTACAGGCAAGTTTTTAAAATACAATTCATAGCTTGCCGGTCCCTGTTTTCTTTATTTACTGTGTTTATAGTCCGCCTTTCTCACTGAGACTCAAAGCAGATTACGCAGGGCAAGTCAAGAACAGTATCGTCTGTGTGAGTTTAGTGGTACACATATGTACTACATTACACCGGAAACCGACAGATCTGCAAATATACCTACACGCCTCCAGCTACCACCCCAACCACATCAAGCAATCCATTGTCTGTAGCCAAGCCCTACGCTATCGCTGCATCTGCTCCAACCCTTCAGACAGAGATATTCACTTGAAGGATCTACAGCAGCCATTTTTGCAACTACAATATCCTCCTGATATGGTCAGAAAGATGATTGGAAAAGCCAGAAGGATAACCAGGGATAGCTTGCTACAAGACAAGCCCAAAGAAAATGACTACAGAACACCACTGGTGATCACATACAGCTCACAACTCAGGCCAGTTCAATGGATTATTAACAACCTACAACCCATGCTGGATAGTGACACTTCCCTCACACAGGCATTGGGGGCCTGAACTTTTCTTGCTTACAGACAGCCTGCTAACCTAAAACAACTGACCCACAAAGATAAACTACTTAACAGTAACATGGACTCTGGTGCCAAGGCCTGCAACAAACCAAGGTGCCAACTTTGCTCTCATATAGATCCTATTAACACCATCAGTGGACCCAGAAACATCAGCCATACCAGCTCAGGTTCCTACTCCTGCTCATCCTCTAATGTGATTTATGCCATCATGTGTCAGCAATGCCCTTCCACCCTCTACATTGGACAAACAGGCCAATCCTTGTACCCAAATAATAAATGGATATAAGTCTGACATCAGGAACCACAAAATTCAAAAACCTGTGGGGAGAACATTTTAACCTTCCAGGACATTCGGTTGCTGACCTAAAGGTAGCAGTTCTCTTACAAAGGTATTTCAAGGGGAGATTGGAAAGAGAGACTGCTGAATTGCAACTGATAATGAAGCTCAAAACAATGCATCCATCAGGACTGAATCAAGACTTAGGTTACCTGTCTCATTACCAGAGTTGATTTCTCCATGCCTACTACCCCTCTGCATATCTCATCTAAATTCAGTCCTGCCTGCTATTGTCATTCATCTGCTCTTGTCACTCGGCATCTGAAATCACTCCACTCTCCAAGATATAAAGACAGGTGGACTCACATTCTAGCTGTAGCTGAAGAAGTGAGCGATGACTCATGAAAGCTCATGCCCTGCCACAAAGTTTGTTAGTCTTGAAGAAAAATGGTATCGCATCAGTAGAAAACAATGAAATGATAACCAGGACATTCGTGCAGCAAAGTGATAACATGTGATTCTTCCCCTCCACTTTGGCTTGTTCCTAATCAGTAGCTGTCCAGCTCTGGAACAGGTTAGCTGACCGCTACAGGACCCCCCCTCCCCCTGCTGTTTGATCATGAGTTCTTAACCTTATGTTGCCTAAGTTTACCCAGTGTCCTGACTAACTTCAGAGATTTTGGTTAAGATGATTAGCCATTTGGTTGCGCTCAGCAGGGGGAAGGTAAGGCGAAGCGTGTACCAATTGCAGGTCAAGGGGAAGGGTTGAAGGAGGTCATGAAAGCGTTTGGTAGCGAAATGCAACTTTGTGTCCCAGAAAGAAATCTGACTTGAAGTTTGCAACTGCAACCCTGTCCGTGGGGAGGATGGAAACAGAATGTGACAGAAGTTCAGTCGAAGCTCAAATTGGCTGATTGTCCAGTTATAGCTCTTTATAGGTCATGTGGCTTCAATGTTTTCTCCTGTGTGGTTTCCTCCTCAAGTCAGACAGGCAGAAGGGTGTTCCTTTTTTAATCTGTCACCGATCATGCCACAACATTTCCCCTTCCCCTATGGTGGCCTCATATCAATAGCATCAAAGTTCCCACCATGAAATAAAAACACCCTGGACAGGCTGAAAAGATTTCAGAGCTGAAACACAGATGCAGTTTGAAGAGAAAAACCCGGGTTGCCTGATGCAAGCAAGCAGTTACGTTTCAACCCTTACATAGGAACTTGCATATTCTAGCCCACCTTCTGTTCCAGATTTATTTATTATTATATGTATGCTTTAATTGTATAAGACAACAGCTAACTTGAAACCATACTCCCTGACTTTCTGCTTTTGTATGCGCAAGGACACTTTTATGCAGTGGGACACATCCAAGCATGATGCCCCACCTGCAGTAAGAGGGTCTCTGTGTCTCTGTGGCCCATGCAGCTTAGCTCTAATGTAATTTTGTTTATTTAAAACGTTTTAACCTCTGCCGTGAATTTGAACACTGCTTTCTTCTGTATACACTGATATCTTTCGCAGCTCAGCTTGATCATATTTGCCATTTCAGGTTCTGTCCTTTCTTTAATAATCCCTGACATACAGTTTGCTTTGTTCGCTGCAGGAGCACGCAAAGTTGACATTTTTTGTGAATTTTTAATTTATCTGGAAAGCCCAATTTTAAGTTTCTTGTTGGTCTGGCCTTTTGGGTGGAGATAATTTGATAAAATACCCTCCACCCCAGAGACGTTTGTGCTGTGTTGTCCTAACAGGTCTGTCTTTGCGAAAAGAATGGTATATCCTGTTGCTTCCATTGGAAGTTAGCAGCTCGGGAGATAATGTGTATTTGCAGGACAACTGGAGAAGTTGCCCACCACATTTCAAAAGTAGTTGTATTTGGAGCAGGGCTTTGTCTTGTGGCAGTGAGTCAGTGACCTCATTTGGTACAGTTAGCAGTGAAGATAACGAGGCTCCACTGGGGTGACCATTCATGGCCTTTCAGTAGCTAACACTGCAAATTAACCTTAGGATGCAATTTTTAATGAGATGTGAGAACTGTAGAAGATGAAGCGCAGTGGCTGGCAGTATTCTTTCTTTGAAGCGAAGTATTTTACAAGGCTCCGCCTGAGTGATGTATAGGATTGGATCCCGTGATCTGATGTTAGCAGAAGGTGCTGATGGTCATAGATTTTTCCCTCAATCTCATTTCCTCCAGAGGTCCAACACCAGGGAAAGTTTATTGTTAAGGTTGCAGGACTGGTATGATCTGACAGGCACATGGGCTTGGGAGGCTGCAGTAGGGAGGGGGAAGGGGATGAAATTGCCCTTTCTGTCTCTTCCCTCAATGCAGAAAGGGCTGCTATTGGGGGGGGGCAGCCACAGTTCTGTTTTTTATTTATTTTCATTTCATTATTAAAAAAACAGCAGCACACAGGCCTGTTCAGAGCTGAATCAGACCCTTGGTCCATCATGGTCAGTATTGTCTACTCAGTCTGGCAGTGGCTCTCCAGGATCTGAGGCAGAGGTCTTTCACATCCCCTGCAGCCTGGTCCTCTTTAGTTTGAGATGCCAGGGCTTGAACCTGAGACCTTCTGCATGCCAAGCAGAGCCTCTTCCACTGAACCACTGCCCCTCCACTTTCATTCATCAGTGGAAAAATGAAGTAAAGATATGAGGACCCTCATATATTTCTCTCCATGGGTGAAAAAGCTACTTGGGGTTGATTTTGAGCTGAAAAGTGTATGGGGGGGGGGGACAGGAAAGGACCTCTCTTGGCCCATGCTCCTCCTCTTCTTAGCCCACGCTCCTCCTCCTCCTCTTAGCCCACGCTCCTCCTCCTCTTCTTAGACTCTTAGCTTGTCCAAGCTGAGTTCGGCTTTGGGTGGGGTGGAGGGAATGTGTAATATGTAGTTTGAGTCTCAGAAATGCTATTTAAGCAGTTGTCCCTCCTAGGACTGCATGGAATACTTAGAATTGCTTTTAGCTAAAAAGTTCAACAGT